GAAATTGGGTGAACACATCTCATATTACTGATTTACTGGTAGTCTCGAAACAATACTTAATGCGAAAAATACTCACTACCAGACAATTTTGGTGGGATGCCATTTGGCTAGTCATTTAATATGTTGACCTAAAAGTAAGTACGTGCATCCCATCCGGTTTCGATTCCATTTTTAGGATGCTGAAGTGACATTGGCGAAGTCGAGACTAAAATTCACCCTATATTAGAATTGTCAATTAAGGCTAAATACTCTTCAATGGCATCCTGAGGCCCACTCATTATTTGGGGATAATTAAGCAACTTAGAATGCCTAAGCTTCTTATTTTAGTCAATTTGTTAACTATCATGTAGCTATCAGAGAATCTTTGAAAGTGTCTTCCAAAGTCCCTTAATATCTCTCGGTATTGCAACAGGGCTACTTATCAATTGATTTGATTCATTTTGTACACTAGTCTGTATTGTTGAGCCTACTTCCATTTCGAGTGAAAGTGTTGGTTTAAGAGATTGGAAGGTCAGTTTCACCACAAGACGATGGCGGATTCCTCTTGGCCAGCTGTCGATTTGCGTTACTGGAAGATTCATGCTGACGCTGTTTCCGAGGCAATATCCTTCGATTCCGGTGAAAATGTGCTATATGACAAATATCATCAAAGCAAGGTGTCATCGTCACAACCAAATTCAAGCTAACGAGTAAAGAAATTTCAACGGCAAATCCCTAAAAAGCTGTATATATACTCTATATCTGATCTCTTTGATGGACCAAAGCCTAGCACCTTTTCATCTAAATCGAAGGAGATTACCTCAGAAACAGCGTCAGCATGAATCTTCCAGTAAAACACATCGACAGCTGGTCAAGAGGAATCCGCCGTCGTCTTGTGGTGGAACCAACCTTCCAATCTCTTCTCCCAACACTCACTCAAAATGGAAGTAAGCTCAGCAATTATGAAACAAGAGATTTCTCGAAACCCAACTTTTCTTCGCATACACTAGTCTGTAAACAATCATTGATCGAAGCTTCCTTACTTCATTCTTTTCAACCCATCACTAGTCTACGAACTAGCATTAAGGTTCTTTCTCAACACGGGCAGCTATATTACGATGCTGCCGATAGGTGCTCTCTTCGGACTAAGATAGGATTCTATTTCTATCCAAGCGCGAGCGCTGTTACGCCTTCTCTAGTCTGCGAAGCCACCAGCGCATAAGTTGTGGCACCACTTATAGCAATCTCAACATTGCTGATTTTTATGAACGTGTTCACGCCTTATTTCAATTTCTATCATCTTCTTTCTAACTATTTTAATTTAATTTAATTTAATAATTTCAAAGTAATAATAGCTGTATGAGTTAGGTTCATTCTTTCGGTAAGGATGATGAATTTTCGAATAATAAGTAGACCTTGTGCCTCTTGAATTTCACATGGCCTTGCTTCCCAAAAGTTATTCTCAGCAGGGTGGATTTTATTTTCGACCTCACGCAGGTCTTATCAGCAGCCCAAGCTGGAGCCGAATCCTGACAGTGCAGCCACACACTAGATTGCTGAGTGATTTTATGACTTATAGTGGTGTTTTTCCTACACTAACATAAGTATGTCTCACAATGGCATTAAATTTCACTTATCTTTGATCCCAAACAAGTTTTTTTAATCAAAGTAGACTGCAGTTTTAGCCTCGCCTAGTTATCATCAGCACACCCAGCTGAATTCGAAACTAGGTCTTGAGCATCCTGCAGGCACGTTACCACTCCATCGTATGTTAAATGTGCTAGTAGGCCATAGGATAAGCAAACCAGACCTCTCAACTTTCATTTATTTTGGGAATTTCGATAAGGCAAGCATGTATTTGTTACTTTCCTCGACGACATTATTCGTTTTCGATGTGGACTTCGAGGATATCCCTAGAAGTTAAATAGGAAATAAGTCAACTTTGGTCGCTTAAGGTGATTTAAGTTGTGATTTTCTTACAGTGATATGAGTAAGCCTTGTCTTAAGGGGTTCTCTAATCCAGGCCTGACTACAATTTAAATTTCTCACTTAGAGAGAGTATGAATGATCGACAGTCTCAATGCTTGAATCAGCATAAGGAATATTCCTAAATGGCATTTCTGTGGAATGTGAATGGGTTTACAGATATATTCGATGGCTTTTAACGAAACCAACCGTGAGAAAAATTGTGGATTAGTCACTTTAGCAAGTTTTGGGTATCCTACCCATGACGTTAACGTTTCACTTTTTGAAAATTAATATGATATTCTCTTTATACTACAATTAGCTTTCTTTCTTACAAGAAAGGAGTCTCAAGCTTTAAAGATATTCGATTTTCAACTTCGTATAACATCAAACTGAAGCTCAGAATATCGAGGAGTATGGCACAAAGAGCCTAAAATTAGCAGATGAGGAATTTCTGGAGGAAGATTTAGACAAATTAACTCGGATGTTTCTCGGAAACTGATACCCAACACCAGATAATATGTGAGTAGTTATGAGTGAATGGCAGGACGCTGATTATGAAAGAAAAATAACATAAACACCTGCATAAAACTGTATCTGTCTACCTTCCTGTGATTTGGCTCTGAATCCTCGGTCGCTGCTAATGAACTAGAATATTCATACATTCACGATAGAAAGGACGATACTCTCCACAAGCTTACCCATACAATATGAAAAGGCCAGCAAAATAGATTGCCTTGAGCTCCATTGTATTAGCTGCAACGACTTCGAATAGAGGTACATTGGAGAAATGAAGAGAACAGTCAGTGTAAGAATTAAAGGACATCCATAATTATGCAGAATTAAGGATACGAGAAGATCGGAAGTAACAGAACTTATTTCACTGACCGACCACACTATCACCTGTAATACAACTGAAAAATTGTCCTCATACGGTGAAGATACGGGAAAGATGAGAAACAGGAACATCCTTCTTAAGGAATTTAATAGACAAACGATTATAAGAGGGCAGAGCCAACGACATTTTTGTGTACCATTTAGAAAAACTTCGATAATTGTTGAGCTTACTTCCATTTCGAGTAAAAGTGTTGAGTGAAGAGATTTTAAGGTCGGTTCCACCAGAAGACGACGGTGGATTCCTATTGACCAGCTGTCGATTGGCTTTACTGGAAGATTCATGCTGACGTTGTTTCCGAGGTAACCTTATTCGATTCCGGTGAAAAGATGCTAAGCTTTCGTCCGTCATATGACGATGGTACCTTGCTCTGATGATGTTCGTCATATGACGGACGAAAGCTTAGCGCCTTTTCACCGGAATCGAAGGAGATTACCTCGGAAACGGCTTCAGCATGAATCTTCCAGTAAGGCCAATCGACAACTGGTCAAGAGGAATCCGCCGTCGTCTTCTAGTGGAACCGACCTTCGAATCTATTCACCGAACACTTTCACTCGAAATGGGAGTAAGCTCAACAATTATAAAACAAGAGATTCCTCAAAACCTAACTTTTCTTCGCAAATTTTGATAAACCCGGAATTCAGCCAGGACAGTAAGAGCGAGACTCATGAAAGCTAGAAATAGGCATTATCAAGATAAGAATCCTGAGGGACGAATGGAAGCCAGTTAAAGGCAATTGCAGTGATTGAAGTGAAACCTAGGATCACTGGTATTCTCGTAATACTACAATTGAGATTTCTTTCTTAATATCCGTCTCACAAGAATGGAGTCTCACGCTTTGATAATGCTCGATTTACAATCTCGTATAACAGCAGACTGAATGTTAGAGTATTGAGGAGTCTGACACAAGGAGCCTAAGATTCGCAGATGCGGAATTTCGGGAAGAAGATTTGAACAAATTAACTCGGATGTTTTTCGGAAATTGACATAAGTTGGGTGAAGTGAATTGGTGTGTGGGAGGTTTAAATGCTGTCGAAAAGTTATGTGGATCACTTCTAAAAAAAGGTGTTTAAGATGTTTATGGTCCAGCACTTGAAGTGACACTGGAGACTGGAATAAACGAAGATACCGATAAGTGTATATATTTGAATTTGCCATTTCAATGGGTTGAAAAATATGATAAGAGCTAAGGCAAGGGTCAGGAGAGATGCCGCAAAGGTTAAAATGGAAATTTTCAGGAAGATTGTATTTAGCTTACACTGGCCAAGTTGCGACAGCGAGGCCAATCCACTTCTATAAATCGAAAGGAGACTGCGACCATCCCAGAGGCCACAACATCCTGGTCTTCATATCTTCAATTACACTGGTCAATTGTAATTTTGTTCTAAATATGTTGACTACCGTGCCGGCGAAACCTCTTTGAATATGCCAAGTCTACTCCCCGAGGTTGAATGTTAAATGACTACTATGGCAGAGACGCAAGGTTTGGTACATTTTATGTAGTCCCCTTGTCACCCTGACCAGATTTCGAAAACGACGCCAGGCCAGTACCTTACAGCTAAAAGTGACGACGACCAAATATAGGACCGTATCTTCTTGATCTTCATATCTTCGATGAGATTAATAGCCTACTGCACGCCTCCTATATTATTAATTTATAGTCTTGCCGTCTGAAATAGATCTTCGGATATTCGCAATCATTTCTTTTACAAGGCCCCTGAGAAAAGTTTATTTGACACATTTATAAATATTTTCTGATTTTTGAATTGTTCATATTCGTCCGACCTCTTTCTGTCAATTTGATTTCATACATCTGAGAAATTTCAAATTTTGAAAACTATCATATTTTCCTATAAGTCGGTTATATCATTCTCTTTATTACCCCACCATAGATCAAATTTATTTCTATTTTTAATTTATTTTACTCATCTAAAGATCACTCACAAAACATCAGATTCCTGTCTGCATCCTGGATCCCGAGAGCCGGCTTTTTCCCATTACTCTCACTTTGACTTCGCCGAGCCGAACCACTCTGCTGACGCTTCTCTGCACCCGCCTTCAGAAGCATCTATATATCATAGTCTTTTAGGTACCGAGCAACCACCGGACGATGGATCTACTCTAACCTGCCCTACCACCACAGGCCTGACCATGACCAATTGTCCACCAAGTTCCTCTAGTACTACCTCAGTTATCACTACTAGCGCTTCTGCTTCTGGCCCAGCAGTCAGTGGTCTCAATAGTAATAACCAGTCACACCTCTCTACGAATACGCCTTTCGGCTCCTCGGAACTTGGCAATGCGACTACTGGGCACAGCTACTTAAAAGGGTCCAAGATTCGTCAACTCCATACTCATCGACGTACTACAACACTGACACAGAGCGGCAATGGCCAATTTGAAGTTTTAGAGAGGGAGGCGGTTCGGGAACGGGTGCCAGATAAGCTTAACCGGCGCTCTAATTTGTCCCGAAAACAGGCAACTTTGGACGAAGATACAGACTCAGTCTGCTTGTCTGAAAAAAATGAATTTGTACGAGAAGAGGTCCGGCTAGCTGGAGATATAAAAGCTCGGCGGACTGAGACTGGAGTCGTTGGTGGCTCAGCATCACTTAACGAAGTCATTTTGAAGGGGTTGGTAACTCGAACCATAGATCCAGAGCCAAATAGGCGTTTAGGGATGTTTGAAGATTTTCCTTCCGAAGAGTTCGGACTCGATGTTCTAGGCCGATTTCAGCTGGTATCACAGCAGCAAAAGCGCCAGCCTTCGAATCAAAATAGCATCCGGCTTTTGGGGGAAGCAAGTCGAATGGAACCACTTTCGATAATACGCAAAAGAAGCTCATCTTTCTCGATTCCTGAAGGTCAGTCATCACTAAATGTTTCTGACGTCGTTGGCTTTGAGGCCGGTACAACTGACTTCACGGACCAAGCCATGGCGAGCGCCGGATCAGCCATTAGTGAGATTGGATTTGAGAACTACGATTCCCTTGATTATGATAGTGAAGAGGAGATGGTGGCAGAGGATGCAAAGGAGTCGGGTGTCAGATTCAGGGTATGTCGGCGTAAAGGCCAGCATAGAAGAACTCGATTTGGTTTTGTTTCACCTTTCCAAGGACGATATAGTGCAGAGAGTTCAGATGGAGAGGGAGGACTAGCCAATGGGTAAATTTCCTTTATCTCTCTTGATTTTATATGAGATGTATTCATCCTACTTCATTTAAGATGAATTTTCCCAATATGATAATAGTAGAGCTGATGTTTGCATTGAATTTCACACAGCCTTGCTTTCCCAAAAGATGTTTATATCCAGGGTGGACTGCAGTTTCGACCTCGCTAAGGTTTCATCAACACCCCCAGTGGTACTCAAACCATGACAGCGCGGCGTGTAATCTCGACACGTTAACCACCACGCCACATTGCCACGAATGCCCTTAGGTCACAGAGCAGATATAAATTTCAAGGAAGGCCAGGCATTTTTCCATATCATGTTCTTTGGTGGGATCGTCGATGAATCAAATTTATATTTGCTATAACAATCGAATACATTTCTTGTTTGTTTTTATTATTTTCATTGTATCCTGGAAGTCTTGGTTTTGCAATTATTTAAATCCTCATATAGCCATGCACACATTTTTACTTTGGCCTTCAAATCCGTATAGCCCAAAACTCTATAATGAGAAGCATTTTCTTGTGTAAATATTGTCAAATTTATAAACGATGTCTCGTCGCTACTCTACTTTTCCATAGTAAATGTGACGACAGGATATACTTTTTCGGAACTCTAATAAACCATCCGTCATTCGCTACTTTTCAATCATGAGGGGGTTATCTCCAACTCTGCTACAGCATATGCTAGAACTTAATATTAAGGTATCAATCCATTAGGAAAATATCGGTCATAGTACACTATTATCGAATGGTATTCTTAGGAGGATGTATCCCATCGAAAGCTACTCACAGAGAAAGAATTAAAATAGCCAATTCCATTGGCAAACACATGTTTGCTCAATCACATATTCCCTGTGACCCACCAGAATACATGGTCATGTGGTGTAGTTGTATCGTCACCATGATACTCGCGCCCCCATGACACTGTTGGCACATAGACGAGTTAGAAACTTCAGTCCATTCTGGATGAGATAAGCTTTTTGGAGTAAAGGCTAGGTGAAATTCAATGGAATTGGGAGGCCTACTTATCTGGTTGTGAGAAAACTCCAATCTCTAAATCATTTTAAGCGACTTAGGATGACTAAATTCTTACTCAAGAATTGCTGATAGTCTTAAAACTTCCCTATTTCGAAAGTAACCTATCCTGAGCCATTTAGAAAAAAACCACTCAATTGCCACCTCTCTAAACCCCTATTCTGGACACACCTGCCGTATTCCTTGATTCTTTCCTTGTTTCTCCTCCAATATTCTTCTAGAAGCAGCAGCATTTATTTAATTATGTACGAACATGAATTTCTTTTTCGGCACTCCCCACTACATCTCAGTCCTAGAATGTCACTTTATGCGACCGATTGGCTAATCTTCAATTTTGTTCTATTATTCTGGTTTGATTCCCTTTGTTTGGTAGGACAAAATACACTCTTCAATAGCGATCTTGAACCAGCTTCCTCTCCCCCCCCTTTTTAGCTTGTCTATCATTTTTAAGTGTTCTATTAAGACTAGGTTTTTGTGTTTATTTTCAAATCTGGCTCACTTTCCTTGATAATCTGTCCTCCATAAGTTACTCTTTAAAGTACTCTTCTGAAATTAGACGATTTTGTTGACGAAGTGTAGTTCCACAGTATTTTCAGATATTCTAGCTCATGATGTATATGATTTTCTGCCATATTAGTTGATAAGATTGTAGCTTTTAAAGTGTTTACATGAAAAATCTGTGGATTTATTTAAATTTAAGCCCCTTTTCTGTAAATCAAATAATAATTTCCTTTTAAATAGCCTCCTGATTTTTTGGCTTTCTGATGTTCCTTTTAAATCGTTATTGTAGAGATTGCAAACCACAAATGTTCCTGGGGGACTTAAGTACGACGGACTCATACATTCTCAGTGTGTAGTCGTGGTTTGGAAGATAAACAGTTAGGAGCTTGTCCTTTTAATTTGTTAAATAGAGATGTGTACGTCGGAATCTTGATGGTCACGAAAGAGGCGATTGCGACGAGCCTGCTTGGGCCTAGAAGGCAAAATATGCACATGGGTCTCTTTCTCTATAAGAAATTTCTTAGCTGAGAAGATGGACCCTTGATTTGCGTGCCGGAAAGTTATTTTGACGTTTCGCTTATGCACATTTGTGCTGGCTTCACAGACTAAGTACCCTAAATTACTTGATGAAGGAGAAGCATGGGAAAGGCTATGAGGTTGGTCTAAGTGCAGGATTGGATTAATCCACAGACCAATTATCTAAGCTAGGTTAATGTGGCCTAAGGGCGTAGATAAACTTTGTTCAGCTCATAGGAGGCTTGGATTCGGATGTTATTGTCGTGTTGATGCTATGAGATCGGGAATTAAAAGGCGGCAAAGAGCGTCTGACAAGGAGTGTGGCTAGAAGGCAAGAATGAGAATGATATGAATAGTTAGCATTCATTCCGGAGCTTACATCGCTACTATAAAATCTGGAGTAAAAAATGGGTCTCTGCTTCAAAGTTGTGGAGGCAAGATTCGCATGTTGACTCAGCGGAAACCGGAAGAAGTCTGCCTTTGGGTTGCTATCATCGATTTGAACATTATGGTCCTCGACGCACCGTCTTTGGACTCTAGCGAATGCGTGCTAAGCTTTCGTCTACTGTCCTGCCAAAAATGGTCTGGTGGATGCCATTCCTTGATAAACCTTCAATAAAAACCATTAGCCAAGAATGATCGTTTTTGCGAAGTTTTTAATTATTTATTGCGGTGACGACGTCCGTTACGGTGATACAGATTAAAGTTTAGTACTGGTTTATTAGCTCGAAAGGTGTCGCATCAATAGTTACTATGACCGAATGGGCAGTTAAAACTCTAGGGTAAATGTTCTTCGGTTTCCGCTTAGTCAAAATAATTGATACCCTCCAGCCATTTTGTAGTTTAAATGAAAATTCCAGTGACTCAGAGCCCAGAGACAATGTTAAAAACTGTATTGGTGCCAGACGAGGCCCATTCTTCATTGTTATCTCATTTCCACTCGAACTATCCTTCTTGATTGTGGCCCGAGAAGATAAATGTGGGTTTGAAATAAATATGGGTATACGTCTTGACCACTACTAGTTTTCGAATACCAGGGTTATGATGGAACTGGAAAAATTACAGCGAAGTACTTCCTGTGTGGTTAAGGACTTCTGAATGAGCACAAAAGATGCAAAATATTTAATTCAATTTTTTTAGAAAATTGTTTATTTGAAGGGCCTAGAGGTGCCACCTGGGAATTCTAGCTTTCTTTCATGTAAAAAAGTATTTGGATTCTGGGGTTATTTCACTGGGGCCTACATGATGCTATTAAGGACTTCTTTCCATGGAATTAGTTTTATTCGAATGACCAGGATGGTCCACTCCTCTATATTGTGACTTTAAATGGACATGTAACTTTGATTTCAATATCGTTCTTTCCATACAGAAGGCCCTGGAAATTAGTCACCGCAATAAATTATTAAAAACTACATAGACCTAATTACATTCAAATTGAAATGCGCTGCGAACAAGCTTATAAGAAGTCCCGAAATGCATCCCTGTTTATTCTTATTTCACTTATGAATTAACTGTATTTTTGTCTAATACCTTTGAATCTTTCTATCTTAATCAGGGACTTTAAACAAACTTTGCTTTCAAACTGGGATTCAGAAGAGGAAATTCACAATGCTGAAGCTATCAAGACACCCCCACCTGTTATTGACATATCGGATCTTGTCAGCAGAATTATCAAAAACTCTCCTCTGAGTGAGTTGGTTTTGATTTCTTTTATGCACATCTCAGCTACCTTGCTCTTCTTTCTCAGTAAATCCGGGTGGTTTGAGTTAATCATGTTACTTCCACAACTCTGGTTCATGCCATTCTACTGTGATGCATTTCTCCTTTTTGATAAATGGTGTGGATTGCTTCATTCAGAAAATTCATCATCCACTATTAAATGTCCAATTTAAAACATTTACTTAGAGTTTAGTTACTTGCTGTGACGTTGTATTCCCCGCAATGGTAGAATAGAGAGGAAGATGGTCTGGAGATATGTATATAACAAAAAGAATAGATATTAGTTGGTGGTTGGGAGCGTTGAGATGGATCAAACGTCGGGTTTAAGTCATGAACGAATGAATGGAGGAGGGAGAGATATCTTTGGTAACCTGGCGCGTGGTATGAAAGTGGAATGTGTTCGTGGCCGATGCAACCATTGTTTAAAATACTTCACATTTGATCTTGGATTGGAGAGGTAGCGAATGAGACTTGAAAGTAGGGGTACCAACTCTTTCGTTGATAATAATAACACCTCAGGTAGAATGAAAGGAACTGGCCAAAGGTGAAGATAAAAGTTGAAATATCAACGTTGTTCAGGTCTAGTGAAATATTTGGAGTCACATCTAACTAGCTCATTTTGTATCTCTGGAGCCTAAATCCTTGTTATCGAAGGGATCCAGTGATCTTGGATATATAGACTATTCAAAAGGACAAATCGATCCAATTTATCCTGTTTTCTGGTTTAAAAAAATTTGGAATGGCAGAAGTCGATGACTTTAACCTATTTAGCAACAGAATAGTTGCTATAACATAAAAGTTTCATATAAGCATCTACTGTAAAAATCTGCTTAATTTATTTGTTGAATAAACTGTTGATTCTCCAAGCTGAACATAAAGACATTGAGGTTTATTATTTTAGACTGCCTAATTTTTGGATTGATAGTTTTAACAAAATTCGTTGGAGAGAACAAGGTTGGCCAAGAAGGATATATTTTTTTATTCTCAATATAATTTTTTATTGCACCAGAGCTGATTATTTACCGATTCTATTAACATGTATTTTTAGCTATCTACCCCGAAAGTTGAGCTTTTCTGTGGCTTGCACATTTTTCTTTACTTTAATATCGATAATTAACGAAGCAATTATTTAATGCCTTAGAATTTGTGGCGTTAATATAAGTGCTAATGATATCATATTGACAATCAAAACGACTATGTCACTTTTTTTATCTAGCAACACTTTAAAGGGGTGAATACATGAGGAAGATCAGAGGTGATTCGTCCCATGATTGATTCCCTAATAAGAAACTGAATAGTGGCTTATGTTATCTCTCATTTGGGTCTAGGTATTTTGCTAGGTTTAAAAAAATGCTTTATCTGTGAATAAAGATATAAGTAACACCCCCTTGATCTCACTGTTAAAATAATCTGCGAGTTGGATTTCCATATGCAAGGGCACTAAGTATGTTTACTGAGTGGATTTACAATACTCCGATAATTTTTTATCGTTATGTATTCACCCCTACCTGTACTTAAGGTCATTCCTGACTTTACCTATGGCAAGTATCCCAATGGCATGATAGGCCGAACTCCCAGCACTCCTTTCGCCAGGAGCAGTCTCTATTCTTGACTTGGTACATTACCGAACGTTTCGTTGGCCCCTTTAGCGGGAGAACCGAGTTACGATTCGTCAAATCGGCAAATGAAATTAATCCTCTTGGCCAATTTTATGTTCAATCATTGAAAATATCCTGCTCTATCCTGTATCCTAGTCCCTCATCCCCACCTAATATGACCAATGTATCTATCCGCATCTATCTACATCTACCTGTTTTCGTTTGTTCCAATATCTACCAAAAGTCTCATTTCTAGTGGATTTGGTGAAGCGTAATCACCTTCACCATTGGCTTCTAGATTCATCTGCAAGGCTTCCTAATTCCAATTGCTGCCTCCACTCAGCCATCCAATTTATCCATCTGTTCCTCGATGCACTTAAAGCTCCGTGCCTTATCTAACTGGTTAGCCATACTTCCTCGATCCAGATATCCATATGTATGATTGCCTCATCAAGGACGACCTTGTCCTTCTTAAGCCCCCTTGGCTTTGGAAAACCGACGTCCCACTTACCACCTACTATCTCCATTTTTTGCATCTGGCTCCTTTTAGAACCGCTATTTATGTAACTCTGCCTCAACTATAACATTCTTTCCAGCGTCCCAGTCCGACCCATTCATGAAGTTCTTCTTTCAACTTGACGTCTAAATGGGTATGATACCACTGATAATCCTGTGTGCTAGAAGCCAACTGAGGTTATGCCTCCAGCTGCCGCTGCAACACTTCAGCATTAGTAGTAGATCCAAATCCTAAAATTCTTATCCATACGGGTAATATATTAATACTTTTAAGACTACTCACATATGTGTTCTAGATGGACCCTTACCACAAACCTTCGATGCCAGTCCCTTCGTTAAACTCTTCTCCTTACAATCTCCTTATCTTGACTAGTTTTTATCCGTTTCCCTTGTCCCGTATCTGTTGTCTCTCTCTATGGCGATGCCATTTTCTATTTTTCGATAGATATTCTTGATCCAAGCATCTTCTTTTGGATCTTGCTGACTTTCGAATTTCTCCGTCTGCTCAAATAATAAGCGAGATTCTTGCTGATTTCCCTCTTCCAATTTCCCGTTCACTAGATTTCTTTTAACAAAGGATGCTCATGACTACCCTGATACTCTGTTCTCTTGTCCTTTCATCGTAATAGGAGAGTCTTTCATTTGCATTGCAGACGTTATTGTGACCCGTCCATTTAATGTGTTAGTTATCTCCATGATTATGCAAAGTCGCTTGTTACTCAACGCCTGTGTTGGTTATTTTCTTGGCTCTCTAACGTACTTTTGTTCGCATTCCTTGCATTTTAAAGCAGTACATTGCTGAACAACCCATTTCCTTGCATTTTTGATGCTGTGTGGATAAGCTTGTAAAGAGAATCGTCCTTTTCCCCTGGTTCGTACGAGTTTTCTATTTTATTAGCAAGAGCCGCAGCTTCCGAACCAGTTTTCAGGGGGTAGACATGAATAGGTTTTATTTAGTCTCCCTTAGTTTCATAGAAGTAGTTTGACCTTGTTTTCGCAACTTGGTCATATTGGTAGAAAGACTTAGAGGAACGCATCTAGTCTGAACCGTGGACATGGTACATTCCCAGGCGTTTTGCCGGTATCTTCAGTGAGTCCTGCACCATACTACAACTCGTCAGAGACAGGTGAAGCTGATCCTTTGACCAAATGTGTGCTAAACAGTTGTGGTATCTCTCTTGTCCTGAGCTATTCACCTCCTATATCTTCGTATTACGCCTTCACTATTACAATTTTTCCCTTGTTTACTTAAATGTAGTATGGTGTGCCCTTTTGAGCGGCTTTCACGAAAACCCTCCACACTCCATGCTAGTGTTCTCACCCCCCTGGGAATGTGGATCAGAGTCTACCATATTGTTACGCAGTCCTTCCCTAGGCCTTATCCGAGTCTCCCTCTTGCCCCCTAGGATCCGTCTGCTATCTCCCTGGTTAAGTATTTCACTCGACCCCATCTGTGCTACTCGAGGCGTTATTACCCATTCCCTGCGACTGGGTGACTAATTCGAGGCTAAAGCTTCTGCGTAATTCTCATGGTCAAGACTTTGCTATATGGACCAGCTCTATGGAAAAACAGGCCAACTAGCTCTAGTCTCCGCCGCATCTATCCTGTTTCTATTCATAATACCGAGTCTATGACATGCTATGCCTTGGTCTCTTGTGTACCAACCCACAAATATTGTGGTACTGCTTGCTTTGATTAGGTTCAATATTGAGCTTTCTGCTTCCTTTCCATTTTTCCATACACAAAATGCTCTTGTAAAAAACTGAGTGAACTTTTTATAGACATTCTTTATATGCCTTTAATAAAATGTGATATTCCAATTCCAAATATTCATTAAGCTAACTAATATTATCTAAATACGCCCTTGGTACGCCTTTCTAATTTCTTGCTACTTAGTGATTCTTCAATCGTGATGCTTGTTAGACGTAAAGAATCAATCTCCATAACTATCTCTTCTCATCATTTACACCTCGTTTCTGTTTTTTCACTATATGCATCTTTTTAGATGTACTCGAAACTTTGGAAAGGGTGTTGACGCGAGATGAATTAGATCTTCTCTGCAGCTTGCAAACACGGCTATAATGGAGGCGCTATGGCATTTCAATTTAAGGCAGACTCCCAAAATATTACCAGGACCTACTTTGGCCATTTCCATAACTTTTGGCTAACAAGCCCTATTCTCTTCACAAGAGGAAAATGGTTTATTTTCCCTGAAGGCCTTTTTTCTTGTGTTTCTGTGTTTAAACGCGGGTACTTGCTTGAGTCTGGGATGTCTATTTGTCTTTCTGCCTTGGCCTATTTTTATACATTCTTGCGCCTCTTGGTAAAAAATCGAGTTGGTGTTTTTTAATTTGAAATTCCTCAGATTACTTTGACAAATCATATTTTCATGAAATGTCTCAACCGGATTTTTTTTCAATTGCTAGCATGCAGTGAAAATTTTTCTTACATTCATCCATGCTTACTTATCGGATAAACTTCGAAATGCAAGCATGTTCAATCACGTTATGAGGCACCTGACAAGATCAAGTCAGCACCCTTTTCATAAATTGCTACAGAAAGTAAAATTATAAGTACTATGTCCCCAAATTTTTTCCTTGTCATGTCTCTAGAGCCATAGCTGTG